ACGCCACGTCACGTGAAACGGGTGAAACTCCGGTGTATAGGAACTAACAGTTTTTTAGAGTTTTCATATTGTCACCAACATGTACAGTGTTTGGAGAAATGTATGTTTGCTTTCCTCAGCTGAGCTAAGGAGTTTCCTCAAAAATCATACGAGTTTACATACGAATTTGAAGAGATATATATCATCATTATGTATTATCATGTATTTCATCATCATTCCAGGTACACAGGTCCATCACTGTATGAGCATCTATCACTGTTAACTTCTCCACATCGTCAACAAGCAGATCGGCCCTTCAGAATGCCCATAGCCGACATACATCGTATAAGCTCTGGGAGTAGTTCGGACACCTCAACACCAGCACTAGGAGCATGTCCGAAGACTGCTGTGATCCTTGCTGGGGAGGTTATCAGTGGTAAGTTGAACTTATGAACTTACTAAGTTCATAAGAAAAGTTAAAGTCGCTTTTTAGGTTGTTATTATTATTAGTGATATTAGAAATAGAGTGCGAAGCAAACAGTTATGCATATCAATCTGAGAGGATGAGTATAGACTACGAAACGCTTCTGAAATGTTGGTGTCAATCGATTCACATTGTTATCAAAATTAGCTTTCGAACTCTCAAAAATTGAAGGCGCTGAAAATATTACTTTGCATAACGGTTTGGTTCACCACTGTATTCGGTGATTCTGAATCTAGGGAGAAATTCTCTGTCGTATAATCATTTTTGTTTTCTGTGTTTGTTTCGGGCACTACATCGTTAAAACGGTCACCCAGGTTCGGTAGCAGTCGGTGACGTGGTGCGTGTGGTCCCGGGAGTAATAGAAGCTACTGTTGTTAGTATACAGGTAGGGTAGATGGGAGCTGCCTATTTGATCAATATGTGGGCAGTGTAGGAAAATATGCATATGGTCAATCACCGGTGTTGGAAAATATGCACGTCGTCAAGTAAATGTGTGGGAAATTTCATCTGTGAAAATTTCGAGAAAAAATGAGGAAATTTTCATTGGTTTCTGTGCACTTCTACCCGAATTTATATGTAAAATTCGATGAATAGTGTGGAAACTTCTGCACTAAGCTGAAGGAAGCGAGCATAATATTCCAACATTGTCAACCAAATTGTTGGGCGAAAATATAAAATTTCTGCGGAAATTTTCATTGATTGCTGTACATTCCTACCCGAAATCGTATGTAACCTCAGCTGTGGTGAGGGATCAAATATTCCTCCAACACTGAATATCATGCTCTTAGACTGGCAATGGCATTTCCGAACGACGAGCGGTAGCAGGAGATAATATTGGAATCAAAATAGAAGGCGTCACGTCCAAGGAAGTGCGTCGTGGACAGGTGCTCTGTTGCATCGGTGATGCTGCTGTTGGAGAATACCGACGAGTGGACGCGCATGTGGTTATGGTCAACTTCCCGGGCGAGCTCAGGCCGGGCTACTCGTAGGGGAATGTGTGATTCGGCTAAGGTGTGGTATGTGAATTTTGCTAGACCGGTGATTGACATCGGAACGGCTAGTAGTACAGTGCAGTTTAAATCGTTGAAAAAAAGGCTGCATCGAACTAGTGGAACGGTGTTGGAGAATGATCCGGAGCTGCTTATACAGGTGGGGCAAGCGGAATAAATTACCCCGACGATTTAACATCTGTTCAGGGCGATGGAGCAATCGTCGAGTTGACCATGTCGAAGCCTATGGCGTGTTGTACGTATAAACCTAGTAGGAGCCTCTTGGGAAAATTCACAATCAGAGATCGGAAAACAGTGATAGCTGTGGGCACAATATTGCAAACGTATTTGAAATAACAACGACGACGATTGCGACGTTTCTCATCGTAATGTGTTGGGTGTCTCCGGGACGGTGTGGGAGAATATGCATATGGCCAACTACGGTGTTAAGCAAACAGTGATGCGAATATGACTGTAGACTAACGTTGGTGTCAATCGATTCACATTGTTATCATGTTGATATTACTCAAATTTGACTTGCGAACTCCTAAAAATTGACGGCGTTGAAAATATTATTCTGCATAACAGTTTGGTTCAGCACTGTACATGTGTTGGTGACAATATAAAAATCACGATATGGATTCCTGTTGGTTTCTGTACACTTCTACCCGAAGTCGTATATAAACTCCTCCAATTAGTGAGGAAACTCTTCTGAGCTCAGCTGAGGAAAGCGAGCATATATTCCTACTCCAACACTGTATAGGAAACTCTTCTGAGCTCAGCTGAGGAAAGCGAGCATATATTCCTACTCCAACACTGTATAGGAAACTCTTCTGAGCTCACCTGAGGAAAGCGAGCATATATTCCTACTCCAACACGTATAGGAAACTCTTCTGAGCTCAGCTGAGGAAAGCGAACATATATTCCTACTCCAACACTGTATAGGAAACTCCTGAGCTCAGCTGAGGAAAGCGAACATATATTCCTACTCGAACACTGTATAGGAAACTCTTGAGCTCAGCTGAGGAAAGCGAACATATATTCCTACTCGAACACTGTATAGGAAACTCTTCTGAGCTCAGCTGAGGAAAGCGAACATATATTCCTACTCCAACACTGTATAGGAAACTCTTCTGAGCTCAGCTGAGGAAAGCGAACATATATTCCTACTCGAACACTGTATAGGAAACTCCTGAGCTCAGCTGAGGAAAGCGAACATATATTCCTACTCGAACACTGTATAGGAAACTCTTCTGAGCTCAGCTGAGGAAAGCGAACATATATTCCTACTCCAACACTGTATAGGAAACTCCTGAGCTCAGCTGAGGAAAGCGAACATATATTCCTACTCCAACACTGTATAGGAAACTCTTCTGAGCTCAGCTGAGGAAAGCGAACATATATTCCTACTCGAACACTGTATAGGAAACCCCTGAGCTCAGCTGAGGGAAGCAAATATGTATAGTGGGGAATTTCACGCAATTGATTTTTTTTTCGGCGTAGGTCAACCCAGCTCGGGACCAGCATCATTTTTCACCGGCAGTCCAAGAGGCTCCAATAGCGAAATCGGTGTCGCCAAGTGTTGAAGACATAAATATCGCGGAGATGACTCTGCATATTCATTCAATTCTAGATCACGTATTGGTACAGTGCGGACTGGCATTGGAGCTCGAGAGGCTTGAAGTGAGTTGTGGAGACTCTGATGATCGTCATGAAATTCTCGGCTGATTTTGTTTCAAAATCTGCAGAGGAAACAGAATCCAGGCTGATTGAGCAATTGTGGGAGTAGTCTGGAGAGTATTTATACTATTGGAGTTTCACCACCCCGTGACTTTTACGTGAAGTGGCGTAAAACTCTGTGAAAAACGTGATATTCGCGGTGATATGCAGTAGTCGTGATTTGACTAGTGTAATTCCACATCACGGGTGGAACTCTAGTTTTACCGTTGAGAATACGCGGCGGATATTTGTGTCGTACAACGCAATGAGTATTTTATACCCAAAAAATAAAGTCGAGACTCTAGAGGAGTATTTTAGTCTCACGTAAATATGTGGCGACTGATACTGTGACGAACCGCTGGAGTTCAAACCTAGCTAGTGCGGCTGTTCACGCACTACTAATGGAGTTTCACCGCCCTAGTGATATGAAAAACACTAGTGAAAAATATATCTCGCGACTACTGCGTATCACCTCGAATATCGCGTTTTTCACAGAGTTTTACGACGCCAATTCACGTAAAACGAGTGAAACTTCATTTTAATTTTTCTTCAAAATTTTTATTATGGTGGTAGTCGTAGGAGTTTCCAGAAAGATATCATTTTTTAGGGAGTGTCGATGTCCGTACGCCGCGTGAGTGAAAACTGTGTCCGAGCAAACGTGTGGCGTGCACAACCCCTGGTTCGGAAAATAGACGTTCATAATCATCTAGTGCGGAAATTAGGACCAAGAATGAGCGGATCTTTTGAGTTCGATTTGGGCTCTATGGATCTACGAGAGGTAGGTAGTTCTAACGATTAACTACATAATCGTTGGTAATGTATTCCTATCGGTTAACTACATAATCGTTGGTAGTGTATTCCTATCGATTAACCACATAATCGTTGGTAATGTATTTCCATCAATCAACTACATAATCGTTGGTAATGCACTGCTCTCGATTAATCACATAATCGTTGGTAATGCACTCCTATCGATTAACCACATAATCGTTAGTAATGTATTCCCATCAATCAACTACATAATCGTTGGTAATGCACTCCTATCGATTAACCACATAATCGTTGGTAATGCACTGCTCTCGATTAATCACATAATCGTTGGTAATGCACTCCTATCGATTAACCACATAATCGTTGGTAATGTATTCCCATCAATCAACTACATAATCGTTGGTAATGCACTCTTATCCATTAACTACATAATCGTTGGTAATGTGTTCCTATCGATCAACTACATAATCGTTGGTGATGTATTCCTATCGATTAACTACATAACGACATAATGTATTCATATCGATATCTGTATACGCGCTTATCTTCTCTTTCTACCTATTGTACTTTAGTTGCTGAGGTCTACTTTGAATCGACCGAATCGGCTCCGAATTCGCACTCTTTGGTTATAATATGTAAATCATCGGAGTGTTGTAGCATTTGCATAGTTGTGGTAGCGTGTGTAACGCATAGTAGCGAAATATGCGGTCGCTTTCCTCAGCTGAGCTCAGGAGTTTTCCTCGTCAGTTATGGTAGAGGTAGAAATGTTCAGAAGCAAACCAGAACTTCCCAAAATTTACTCAAAATTTTCATGCTGTCGTAGTGAATGAGAAGGAGAAATTACGGGTTTATGAACACATATTCCGTTTACGGCTGTTTCCTTTAAGAAGAATTTCAGTGCATATATAAGGATAGGAATTATTTATATTATCGCATAGTTTTCGCTCACAATTCGAGAAACGCAACGGAATTTCACGCTAGTGAGTAGATGCGCGGAAGAAGTCGAAAATAGAGTTGACTTTTTTTTCAGAATTTGTAATGTGCGATTTGGATTTCAGTACAAGAAGTACATTAAAAAAGTTTGGTGGGAAAATGAGCACAAAAACTCTATTTCAGTTTTACCCTAGTGATATGAAAAACACTAGTAAAAAAAAATTTCAACACGAAAGTGCGGTATATGCTCCGCATTTTTATTCAGGGCGTCGTGACGCTATTCCAGCCACCGTCAATTGGGACGGCTGGTCCTGTGGTTGGGCGAAGACGGCATAAGAAGAGCGCGGCGAACGATGGTGAAGAATTTGAGAATCTAATGCCCTTCAGATTGGTGAGTGATTATGGACAATTTTAGTGACAGTGTTTCCAACAGACATGTGATTTCTCACGATCGTCGGTTTCTAGGTGAAACTCCAATGATAGTAATTATAATATAAGTTACTATAGTGCTATCAGGAAATCATGATGAAGTGAAATCCTGATAATGTGAAAAGAGTGTGACTGTTCTCAGTTGCGTCTGCTGATCGAGTTGGTCGCTGATACGGAGATCCTTACTTGTACGCCGATCGCGGCGATTTTGCAAACTGGGAGCAATTCCGATCCTTTGGGAATTCGTGAGAAAACGATGGTGAATTTGTGGAGGGTGTGGTATTGTAGGTGAACATAAACGCGGCTTGCGACGAACAAAATCGTCCTTCGAAGCGGCGTTTGCATCGGTGAGAATTGCCGGAAAGATGGTTGATGTTTTTGGAAAGAATTAGAATAAAAATATTCGCTCCTTTACCTGTGCTCAGAATTCGGGTAGAAGTGCACAGAAGCTATCGGAAATTTTCTAAAAATTCTCTCAAAATTTGTATGGGAGTGTGTATAGGTGACGCGAGGACCCGTCGAGACTAGGAGGTTCCGCTCGGTGACGCCGATGACAGCTCATGTTGATACTTCGAAGCTCTTGTCTGTGGGAAGCCGAGGAGAAGCTCCCGAGCGAACGAGCAAGCCATTGCAGTCTACGCCGCAGAGTTTGTTTAGGCCAGTGGTTAATCGGATGGCTTTGGGACGTGTAGGTCGCCGGTTCGATTCTTGGTGAAGACAACTTTGTTATGCTGGGGAAGTAGGCTACTTTTGAGAAAAAAATATATGTGAATCGACTCGCTGTGCATCGGCATTGAAAATGTGTACTTGGTTTTTCAGTGGAATTCAGTAATTTCTAATGCTATATAACGAGAAATCAAACAGTTTACATTCACGAAGAATGAGAATTTCTCGAAACTTCATCAGTATCTTCATATTTTCATCTACACACGTGGTTGATCATGTGCATATTTCTCAACAATGTTGTGAATTGTTCTGTTCGACGAGCTCAGGAGCAGGGACTTCTTTCCCTTCTAATGTCGGAGGAATATATGTTCGCTTTCCTCAGCTGAGCTTGGAAGTTTCCTCACTAACTATAGATGTGTACAGCAGTGCTCAGAAAGCAAAATTTCCCTTCAGAATTCCCATCTGGTCGCTAACATATGTAGTTTGCTCTGTTTCGTTCGTTTAGGTCTCTGCCAACCTGGAAGTTGGTTTGCTTACAACGGTGCTCGTTGATGAGATAGTCGAAGTGAATAGTGACTTGTTGCTGAACTGTGGGAGTGGCAGCATCGAGGTAGGAAATGTAGTGAATTTAGCCGAAGCCTAAGTATACTTGTAGTGAATAGAAGTAGTATACTTAGTTAGCTAGAACCTTATATGTACGCAAGCTGGCGTCACGCTCAAACGACACAGCTAACACAAAATTCGGAGACAGGTAATTGTGAAACGGGGACAATCTCTACATGATGATAAAAAGGAGGTAAATGCTCTTTATGAAATAAAATTTTAAATAGTTTTCTTTAATTTTGATTTTCTCCACAATGTAACTGTAGTTGAACGTAGAAAAGCCGAATTTCAGTTTCATATTGAAACTTACTTATGGCACTCCTGATCTCAACGTGTTTTGAAACTTTCTATTCACGTTGAGCTCAGGGCTTTATCTAGACCCTCTTCATTGACGCACTTGCACTCAGCCCTCCTTCGTGCACTCAGTGCGTGCCATTGATAAGCGGATCAGTGATCCCAGGGCAGTCGGGCTGCCCTGATCTCAACTTGAGATCAGGAGTACCATAAGTGATGTTTTATGAAATGGGGTTGTTCGATTTTCTGTTTGTTATCTGAATGTGAAACAATAAAGATTGTTGCCGAACGTAGAAAAGCTGAATTGTAGTTTTACCTCACTTTCGTGCTCAACAAAACGCTACTTTTAGTGATCTAGGACAGACAATTTAGTGACATCGTCTGGACGTGCCGATGATTATTTCAGAACGTCGAAGCTCTACGACGTCTTGTTCACTTTCGCTTGCAACGTATGGAGGAGGAGACCGCGGCTGGACGCGCGCTGCATATTGGAGTTTTTCATGATGGAAAATTTGCTGGAGTTATTTCTGTTGGCACTGAGCGAACATCTAAGGGGCTGATAAAAGATATATTTTCTGTGAGGCTGGCGGACGCAATTGCTGGCCCGGGTGAGATTTTGGGAAATATGCACATGGTCAACTACGTGTGTTGGTGAGAATATGAAAATTCGGAGAAAAGTATTATGGGTTCTTGTACATTACTACTCGATTTTGTATGTGATCTTGAGCTTAGCTGAGGAAAGCGAACATATATTCCTACTCCAACACTGTATAAAAAACTCTTCTGAGCTCAGCAGCTGAGGAAAGCGAACATATATTCCTACTCCAACACTGTATAAAAAGCTCTTCTGAGCTCGGCTGAGAAAAGCGATTACATATATTCCTACTCCAACACTGTATAGGAAACTCTTCTGAGCTCAGCTGAAGAAAGCGAACATAGATTCCTACTCCAACACTGTATAAAAAACTCTTCTGAGCTCGGCTGAGGAAAACGATTACATATACTCCTACTCCAACACTGTATAGGAAACTCTTCTGAGCTCAGCTGAAGAAAGCGAACATATATTCCTACTCCAACACTGTATAGGAAACTCTTCTGAGCTCGGCTGAGGAAAGCGAACATATATTTCTACTCCAACACTGTATAGGAAACTCTTCTGAGCTCGGCTGAGGAAAGCGAACATATATTGCTACTCCAACACTGTATAGGAAACTCTTCTGAGCTCAGCAGCTGAGGAAAGCGATTACATATATTCCTACTCCAACACTGTATAGGAAACTCTTCTGAGCTCAGCAGCTGAGGAAAGGGATTACATATATTCCTACTCCAACACTGTATAGGAAACTCTTCTGAGCTCAGCAGCTAAGGAAAGCGATTACATATATTCCTACTCCTCCCACTGTTGTCAGGAACTGCTGCTGAGTGTTTGAGGATGTGCTTGTCTCGTTGGGCGGCGCTGTTGTTCCCCAATCCTGAATTCGAAGATTTCATGACGAGAATTCGGAGATTCACCTGTAAGTAGATTTCTCAAATTATTTGAAGTGATTGGCAGTATGTGTCAAGTTGATATGCGAGCGGAAAATTATGTTGCATTTTGAAAAATAAGTGAGAACTGAGACTGCGCTTACATAAGGAAAATACAGTTGCCTCTCGAACGGAGCGTATACGGTATGAAATGCTACTTCGCGTTGCGCATGCGTGCAAGACGAATAGTTTTATAACAACTAGGATGATTCGGACGATGGGTGAACTATGAAAGGAGTTCCATGTAATCATGGATGTGCAGAAAAATACACAAAAACAGTATGCGTCGAACTCTGAGCAAAAATGGCGCGCGCGAGCTGTCAGCGAGGGACGGGTTGCAAATCTGTACGAAATTCGCGCGATTTTCTTGAAGGTTGACCGCTTACTTCACCTCGATAGTTCTTATCGTAATTCTCGCACAGATTTTCGAACTCTGTGAGAGATACCGGCGATATGGAGAACATTAGTGAAAAAAATATTTCACGACTACTGCATATCATCGCGAATATCGCGTTTTTCACAAAAAAAGGGGAAAAAACAAAAAAAAAGTTTTTCACAGAATCGAGTTTTACGCTACTTCACGTAAAACGGGTGGTGAAACTGTACTGATCATTTCCAATATTTATCCCGAAAATTTATATATGTAATTTTCTTTTTACGGAATGTATTGATTGTTGTAGATTCTCCTGGGAATCCGAGGGCTGTTTTCGGCAACCCCATCACTACGTCTGAACATGGACATTACGATCCGCCGCCGATCGCTGCTCGAATCGGCACAATACGAAGTCGCTATAACTCAGCTTATGGCACGCCGAAATTAATAATGGCTAGCGCACCACAGGTAAGTGTGTTTGTGAAGCGAGAAGAATAAATAGTTATGGAAACTTCATATGAAACTTCTTATATGATTGACGAGCAGCGCGAGTTGTGGTATGTCTTAGCTGAAGATATCAATGGGAAATAAATAACACAAAAGAAGATATCAGTTTGAATGTTCTTATCACAATGGGCAGAAATTCGTTGTGTGATTTTTATCAAGGTTGTTAAGTTTTAAGCACGAAAAATTGAAGTTTGTGCGGAAGGGGTATATTGTCACTGTTTGTACCAGGGTTGGAGTAGGAATATATGTTCGCTTTTCTCAGCTGAGCTCAGAAGAGTTTACTATACAGCGTTGGAGTAGGAATATATGGAATCGCTTTCCTCAGCTGCTGAGCTCAGAAGAGTTTCC